TGGTTACTAGGAAATTACGAGGAAAATGGTTACTAGGAAATTACGAGGAAAGTGGTTACTACGACTTTACGAGGAAAAAGGCTTTACGATGAACGTGTTTCGACGAAACGCGTTTCCTCGTAAGTTCCTAGTAAAAAGCCATTTACTAGGAACTAACGAGGAAAACCTGCCCTAGTAATGGACGAGTTTTCTTGTAGTGGATACCCCAAACCGCTTCTCTTGTCTCTGCGGTGATCCTAACTACATTTTGTAATACCACAAAACCATTGTTAGCTATTAATAAACCGGCCTACGTTGTTCCTCTATTAAAACCATAAACCAGATTTCGTGCCGGTCTGGCATTTTAATATTTAATAAATTTCCTACGATAAAATAGAAATGTGTGCAGCATATGATGCCCTAGCGAGCAGTTCCTTTGCCTATGCTCTGAGCCGAGCCTTACTGAGGTTTCCATCTCTGCGTCCATACCACATCCAGCAATAATTAAGCTTCCAATGATTGCCATATACGTATATATCAAGACCATTGATAACTAAACAAGTCTAGAGGCTTAAGACCATCTCCAATGGGAGTTCTTTCCATTGGAGTTCTTAATATATGTATTATATATATATTATATATATATATATTATGCGTAAATAATTGGGGTTTATAAATATTGTGGAATCCTATAAAGAAGAGTTCTTAAGGATTTTTAAAACTTTCTTTTAAAATTTTTTAGAGCATCTTCAACCCTAGCACCCAATTTGAGGTACTTAATCTTTTTATCTGATTTAAAAAAAATAAAACGAACCAATCGTGGGCCGCTACGTGTTAGTGGGGCCCGCGAACAATGCAAGCAACTAGCCATTTGAAGTGTTTAATTAAACATTTTGAAAAGTGGTTCTTAGTGTTTTTTGTGGGATCCATTGACAAAAAGTACTAAGCACCCCTTAAACACTCCCTTAGACTTATTCTTGGGTTTATTCCCCAGAGTGAACCTCTAGGTTCACAAACCATTAGAATGATGTTATTTCATATTTGATATCTTTTAAAAAGGAAACAAACTATTTTTAATTTATATTATGTTTTTCAAATAAAAACAGAAAAAAAATTAAAAACTAATAATATTTACAAAAAAATGAAAAAATTACTTAAAAAAAAATATTTTAACATTATATTATGTTTTTAAAATAAAAAAATAAAAAAAATACAAGGAGCAAGAATTGTAAACAAAACAATTTAAAAAAATATTTTAATATATCTTTAAAATGAAAAAAATATTTTAATATATCTTTAAAAAAAATAAAAACAGCAATATTATGTTTTTAAAATAAATAAAAGACAATATAATTGATTAGTATTAATTTTTATGATTTATCCTAGGATTTATGATCAGGGTTTAGGGTTTAGTGTTTTAGTGTTAAAATATTTTCTTAAGATTTTTTTTGTTTTTTGTAAATATTCTTATTATTTTTTAATTTTTTGTATTTTTATTTTAAAACAATAATATAACTTAACATGATTTTATTTCCTTTTTAAAAAGATATCAAATATGAAATAATATCATCCTATTAGTTGGTGAACCTAGAGGTTCACCATAGGGGTGACCCAAGAATAACTCTCCCCCTTAATGATGCTCTTACCTATGGGGCTCTACAAAAATTGTTGACCTCACAATTACTTATACATATAATATATATATATATATATATACATAACACATATATTAAGAACCCCAATGGAAAAAACCCTCATTGGAGATGCTTTAACATATCAAAAAAAATTCTAGAGATCTATAAATTCAGTTATAGATGTATTAAAAATTTAGATGTCAATGTACGAGCAGAAAACAATTGAAAGTCCAAAAGACCTAACTCGTAAGACTATCCACAGTGATTTTATTATTCAAAACCCTCCATCTCATATTTTAACATTCCATATCATCTTCTCTTTATTCCATCTTATCATTCAACACATATTCAATTTTACCCACTACAATGGTTTGAATAAGTTTCAACACCCTATTTTTTAATTGATAATTATTTTCTCTGTATCCAAATATCTATTTATGGAGAAATTAAATGATAAAAATTGATATAAGAAATAAACATAAATTATTTAATTTATAATGAGATTATTGATTTAAATAGGTGGGGGTATATAAAAATATCAAAATTCTTCGAAAGTGACATACGTCATCCATGGCTCCCATTTTCTTCTTATTCAACATGTTGAATTTTTCAACATCAAATAATCTACATCATCAATTATCATTTTTCAACACTTTCATCATAGCAATTCAACTGTTGATTTTTTTTTCAACATTCCTATTGTACAGTCTTAATACGGTTTTTATTTACCCTGAATCATCTCGTGGAAAAGCTGGCCATCGCATGTAACTAAGAATTAATGATTCATTAACTAAGTGACATAATGAACATATGTTTCTCACCAAAAGATTAGAGTTTTTTTTTAAAAAAAAAAAGAGACTTACTTTGCTCTTTTTTGTTTCTTTATAACAACTTTTCCATTATTTTAATGATAGGAGGAGTTTATTATCAAGTGAAGGATTTGATGAAACAGTGCAAAATATTCATAATCTAATATCCAATTCACAGGTCAAAAATATCATTGGGAAAGATATATCACAACCTAGGTACAACTTCCATCTCTAGTTAAAATCATTATGGACAAGTTATCGAAGAGATCAAAAAGCTATTCCTTTATATCGTACAAGGTGATAATCCGCGCCCTGCGCGGAGTGAGTGCGTAAAAAGAGTTAATACCTAATATCTATATCTATTAAAAATGAAAAATCATAAATATTAGATATAATAAAATATCTTACTGTAACGTGCAAGTTTATATAATGTAAGTTGTAAGCTTATATTTTTTATGAAAAATTTTGGTAGATGCATTGAAGTTAAAAAGAAACTTAGAACATCCTTGGCTGAAGAAAGAATCAAATTAGAAATCCAGTTCCTTTTTAATCGTCGCAACGATTTTATCTCCCCCCAGAAAAATGTGTATTTCAAATACATAAAAAACACTCAAAATATGTATTGATGATACATAATAACCACAACGTATTTTTGCATTCACGAAAACTATTTCTATGGATTCTCCAACAGCAGCAGAGTATTGCTTCCAAAGTCGCATCACT